GGAGATCTGCTTCTGAAAGATCACAGCTTGAAAACCTATAGAGCAGTTCTACTCTGCACACATGGGATTGCAGTGAGTCAGAATCAACTTGATGGCAACCACCACCACCAATAGCTATAAGCCAGGCATTTCACTAGGCTCCTTACATAATTTTATTACACAGGCACAAAAGACCTGCAAGGTAAATATAATAGTGGCTATTTTATAAATTAAGAGAAAGGCTCAGAGAAGAGGCTGATATTACCTACTGTAAGGCAGGACAATGATTCAACCTCAGGCCTCTCTGCCTCCACGCTTTTTTCCTTATGAATGTACTTTCCAATACAGTACCAATCGCATGTGGCTATTTAAATTTAAATTTTAATTAAGTAAAATTGAATAAAATAAAATATCAGTTCCTCAGCCACACTAGCTACAGGTCAAATCTAAATAGTCATATGTGAATAGTAGCTACCATATTGGACAGCATAGATATAGAATATTTCCATCATCACCAAAAGTTCTATTGGACAGCACTATAGTCTATACCGTACTGCCTCTCTAGACTGGTTTACCCACAATAGGACATAATTTTTTTTTAAATTATAATGAATGCTCATTCATAAATTATATATCACTTTGTGATAAAGACAACAGTTTACTATAGATAGTCATGTACACAGTAGTTAATTTCATCCAATAGTCTACAGAGAAATGGAAAATATGTCCTTTAGCAGATCATCACATACCCAAGAACAGGGAGAATCTCCACCAACAGTTTAGGTAAACTTTTTGTTCGACAATAAGAACTAATGGTGATGGGAAATCCTAAAGCCAATGTGAAAATGCCAAATGAAACTCCAACATCCTATCCACCTCTAATCTCCCTGGGTCCATGATTTCCATTTGGGCTTTAATAAACTTACAGATGCTTTCAATATTTCTTTGAAGTTTCTGGATGTAGTCCTCTTAGGTGTAAGCTTTGGAAAGAGGAGATGGTGATTTGTTATATATGTCCTTAGCATTAATGTTTTGCCCAGGAATTTTTTCTTCTAACTGGAAGACAAATGACTTTTCTAGTTAGTCAGCCAATAGACAATATTTGTGACATATGTAACCCTCTTTTTTTCAGACCCTTTTGAATGGTATCAAATATTAAAAATGGAACTTCAAATGCAGTGAGCAAATTGGAGTGGCAAAGCAAACAGCAACATAATCTAATATTCAAAACAAAGTCAAGTAGATTACTGCTTTAGGAAGAAGTTCTTCCATATAAAACATCCTTGTATGATTTTAGAAGAAGAAAATATTAGACTCTTTTATAGAAGTCTTTCCAGTAAAAACAAACAAAAAAATCATAAATCATAAATAAGATTCCCACCTCAGTGTGATGAATAAGAGTGGAGGTTAGGGAACTCCAACAAAAAGCCTCCATATTAGACCACTATATAAAATTGTAAAAGGACAGACCCACATTTAAACTCTGTTGTCATTGGAGAATTTGAGTAATAATTTAATTTTCTGGGCTTTAGATATACATCATTAAATTGGAGATAATTATATTTACTGCAGAGAATTGTTGTGAGAATTAAATAAAGAACAAATAATACAATTTGCACTGGGCAAATCTGCTGCAAAAGACCTCTTTAAAGTGTTGAAAAGTAAAGATGTCACCTTGAGAACTAAGATGTGCCTGACCCAAGCCATGGTGATTTCAATCACCTCATATGCATGTGAAAGCTGGACGATGAATAAGGAAGACTGAAGAAGAATTGATGCCTTTGAATGATGGTGTTGGCAAAGAATATTGAATATACCATGGACTACCAAAAGAATGAACAAATCTGTCTTGGAAGAAGTACAACCAGAATGCTCCTTAGAAGCAAGGATGGCGAGACTACATCTCACATAATTTGGACATGTTATCAGCAGGAATCAGTCCCTGGATAAGGACATCATGCTTGGTAAAGCAGAGGGTCAGTGAAAAAGAGGAAGACCCTCAACGAGATGGATTGACACAGTGACCGCAACAATGGGCTCAAGCATAACAATGATTGTGAGGATGGCGCAGGACGGGGCAGGGTTTTGTTCTGTTGTACAGAGGGTTGCTATGAGTCAGAATCTACTGGATGGCAACTAACAACCTAACAACAATAGAATTGAGACCCTTAATAATTCCAAGTCTTTTCCTGCTCTTTCCTTTGTCCTTGTTATTGCTTTAATCTATCAGGAAGAGAAAATCCTTGCAGATAAAGGAGAGACACAAATGTTATACAACACAAACCCGCTAATGGTAAAAGGAACTTCTTGGGAGTGGCGGGGAGACTGGATGGTCCAAGTTTAGAAACAGACCTTTGCCTATGCTATTTCCTCACCTGGAATCCTCTTTGCCTCAGTCCCCTACGTATGTTCTGCATATGAACTTCTTTTCGTTATCTCAGACTTATTTTAATTAGTATCACTTCCAGGACACCATCTTTGACCTCTTCTGTTCTTAACTACTTGGTATCCTGAACACAGTTCAAGTATAGCATCTATCATATTATGTTTTAATAGTAGCTTACATATCCAACTTTCCCATAGACTATGAGCTCCTTGAAACCTACTACCTACCATAGTTCCTTGAGAGATGGTAAAATAGTACGTTTTTTGAAAAGATAAACCAACGAATTATTAGTGGGTCCCCAATATAATCCAGGAACCCTGGTGGCACAGCAATTAAGAGTTTGGCTGCTAACCAAAAGGTCAGCAGTTTGAATGCACCAGCCACTCCTTGGAAACCGTATAGAGCAGTTCTACTCTGTTGGATAAGGTCACTATGAGTTGAATTTGACTCAAAGGCAATGGATTTGTTTTTGGGGTTTTTTTGTTTGTTTGTTTTAATATAACTAAGGCACACCAAGAACCTATATGTTAACCTATGCTCCCTCCCCCACCATATATATAATTGCTATCTCAAAACCTTCACACCTCATCGTCTGTGACTGCTTTAGCCGACTTGCTCTGGCCTGATACAACGAGACCAGAGTGCTGACCTTCTGTTTGCCAGGGTGACTTGGTTAATATTAAACTCAAAGGATTTCTCAAATGTAGAAAGCACTCAAGAAGAAATGCCGAAAAAGAAAAAGAAGAAAGAAAGACAGCAGGAAGGGCTATAGTTATTTCATTTTTCAGTTCTGGTTAGTCCCACACAGGGAGAAATGCTAAAATGAGAAATTAGGAGAAAATGGCTGGATATAAAATGGACTTCCTGAGAAAATATACTAAATCACTTGGACTAGTGAAATGTATCAATTAATAAAGAATGTTAACACAATGTAAAAGAATGAATGCAGCCATTAAAAACAACCACAACAGCAAAACCCGTTGCCATCCAGTTGATTCCAACTCACAGCAACCCTATAGGACAGAGTAGAACTGTCCCATAGGGTTTCCAAGGAGTGGCTGGTGGATTTGAACTGCTGGCCTTTTAGTAAGCAGCTGTAGCTCTTAACCAATGTGCCACCAGGGTTCCAATGTATTCACTAGGGAGTCCTAATTTACAGTTGGTAATTTAGGCCATGGAAATTCTGGTTCGTTATGCAAGTTGTTTATGCTTAATAACCCAGAAATGTTGGCAATATATGCATTTATAGACTGATTAAGTCTTCCCACCCACACACACCTATTCACCTCTGCAACAGTTGTGAAAGAGTAAGAAGTGGCTCCCCATACCTGCACGTATCTATTGAAACTAAAGCCACTCTTTGACTCCTAAGGAATCCCTGTTTGTGCAAAAACAAGTCTGTTGGCATCAGTGAGAGAGCGATTTCCAGTCCACAGCTACTACAAGAGTACACTGACCCATTCTTCATTCTTAAACTGGGGGCTTTGGGGTTGTTTTCTATAACATGATTATATTCTCCAGTTAAAAAGTGAGGCATCACTCAGGAGGATGTTGAGATGGTAAATTCTCACTCTCTCACTAGCTAGGAAGGGTCATAACAACATGTGGCAAAGACCAACAAGAAATCAAACAGCTTAACTAGAGTTGTCTTTTCTGAACTCAGCAGTTAATATCTGAGTTGTTTCCCTTGGCACAATTAGATTTCCTCTGGGTTCCAACTCCTTGAGGAGAGCTTGGTTTGTAAGCCAATCACTGTTTCCCTATGCTTATTCAAGTAAATATTTTTATGAGCATTTCATCATCAGAAATCAGAAAATTAGAGGAAGGCATTTAGCTTTATTTCTGTGGCACTGCCACCAAGGTGTCTACACACCCCAGGGTGAAATTCTCATCTTTTCTTCCACATAGCCAGCACTTGTTGACCCCCCCAAAATTCCCTGGCCCAAGAGAAAGTTTCTTATCAGGTGAAATAAAAGGACGAAAGAGCTGTACCTACCATGGCAAAGTCTGTCTTTTGGAATGGGAATATGCCGCTCTAGTCCACCATTCTGATTTTATCATCTGAAGTTGAGCAATAGAACTTGGCTTTAACACACATAACATCTCAGGATTATTTCTAAGCAGTGTCCAGGCAGAGAAGCTCTAAGGACATACAGACCCAGAGTCATCCCTAAACCAAACAATATTCCTCCAACAAATGCAGGATGTTATGTACCTATCACACACCAGAGTGTTCCTGAGTGGTATAAACAGTTAACGCGCTCTGCTGCTAACAGAAAGGCCGGAGATTCGAATCCACTGGAAGGCACTTCAGAAGAAAGATATAGCGATCTACATCTGAAAAATCAGTCACTGAAAACCCTATGGGGCACAGTTCTATTCTGACACAGATGGAATTAGAATCGACTCAACGGCAGCTGGGTTTTTGGTTATGGACCAGGCACAAGTGTGGGCAGGAGGCTGATACGGCTTTAGGGAAGAAAATCCTGGTGACTTGGCCTTTTCTGGAATGTCTAAATTGAGTAAACTCCATGATAAATCTAAAATTAACTTTAATAAACTAATCACTTTTCTGAAGTTGCCATTGTATAAAAAACGTAATCACATGGGGTGTCTCTATTTTCTTAATTCACAGAATGTCAGTACTGGGGCTCAGAGTTCCAGCTACCCACTCTGGATTTTGAAGATGTTTTAAAAAATGATGAACGTGCATACAGGTGGCTCTCTACCCTCAAGAAAGTAGGCATAGTGCGACTCACTGGAGCATCTGACAAACGAGGAGAAGTTTTAAAACTTGGGAAAAGGATTGGTTTCCTTTATCTCACATTCTATGGGTGAGTGGCCAAATCTTTGCATTCTGCCAGTGTACATAAACTTTGATGTATTTCCCAGAGCAAGAATTCCTTTTGTTAGAGATACAGAAATTTCCATAATGTCTTAAGCAGGAAGTTAGATGGGAATACAAGTCTAAAAGTGGCATTTCTGAGAGAATGACTAGAAGTTTTAAGGCGCCTGAAAGCCTAAAGATATCAGGCACCAAGGACATCAGTCTCATTGTAAGTGGAATGGAAGAGTGTATCTCTAAGCTGTTTATAAACTACTCAGCTTGACAAATGTTAAAGTTCATTTACGTCTTACCTCCCCAGAATTGGCACAAAATTAAGTTGGGTCCTTGGGAATTGAAACTAGTCACTAGATGTGTTTCAAAAAAGCTGAAACTAAGGTGCAGGAAACAAAGTCTATGCACTTTAGCAAGCAGCAGGAAATATAATTGATTTTTAACTTTGGAACAAGAAGCTATTTGCATAAGAATTGCCTGTGAGGTAACGTTAATTGTGAATAGTGAAACACTAACAATAGGAAACACTTACCCAGATTATGTGGATATAACTATATTTCTAGTCTTTACAGTGAGATCCTTATTATTATTACCCCCAAAAAGTGGATACAATTATTCTTGGGCTCATAGAGTAAAGAGCATTAGAAGTGAGAGGGACCTTCAAAATCCAAGGTTGCAAAGTGATGGCAAAGAGGCTGTACGTATTCAAGTGTGTTTTGCTTCACCCATGTTATGTTGAAAAAAAAATGGAATTAGTAGTCAACGTTTACAAACTGGGAGATTTTACATTAAAAATCTGGACTTCTGACTTTTTTTGAAAAATCCAATCTGGCAACAACTGTGTCTAAATCCCTGCATGCCAATAATCTGTTGGACATAAGTAGAGATTGCACCTTGAAGATAGCATATGCTCACTCTCTAGTTTGCCAAGTCCTCCCCAATCCCACTCCAAACCTGTAAGAGCTCTGCTAGCCTTTGAGCTTGACACTTTGATTTAGAGGAAGACCTTTTGGAGACGTAAACAGAGGATCAGATATACTCAACCACTTGTCCTTGATGATATGGGCAAGTGCATTCATGGCAGAAGGCTCTGCTCTAAACTTGGATCACCCAGTCTCCACCCTCCACCAAAAGAACTTACATTTACCTTTGGTGGATTGGTGTGTTGTATAAAGTTTTTATCTCCCCTACATCTCCAAGGATTTGAGCTGCCTTAGAGATTACAGCAATAACAAAAGACAAAACAAAGAGGAGGAAAAGACTCAGAATTATTCAGAGCCTCAGCTCTATATTTTGTTCTTTATTGAGTTCTCACAACAACTCTTTGAAGGAGATATCAAAATAAATCTCTTCTAAACTTTTTTACTCAGATTTTATTTTCTGACAACAGATTTTTGTGTCTATTCCAATAGATTTCACAATTTCATAACAGTGGCCAAATTTAGGGCTTCTTTGTTGGAGTTACCTAATACCATTCACCCATCACATTAAGGATCATTATCTTGGACCTGATTTATGATTTGGGTTTTGTTTTGTTTTTAAAGTCCCATAAAAGGGCCCAATAATTTGACCACTGATCTAAGATTGTGAAATTTATTGGAATAAATACTGCAAGTCTGTTGTCAAAACAAATAGATGTCCTACTGTCATTTAATTTCCATTGTCCAAGACCATCCTATCTAACAAGATAGGTTTAACCTATCCTCTCTCACCTTCCTCAAATGGTTTAATTTCTTCCCTGGATCTCTCAAATAACACCATGTGCCAATAATTGCTTTTCTTGCCAATTTACTCTCACTTTCATCACTGATTACCAAGATGTTTCCATATTATTTTTGGCACCTTTAATTCCTATCTCAAGAACTTACGGAGGCTAACAGTTTTACTATTATTGTTTTGTTTATGTTTGTTTGCTTATTTGTTTTTGTTCTTATTTGTTTTGGTTTGATTTTTTTGGGGGGAGGGTTGATTTTGTTTTTGTTTTTGTTATTAAAAGGAAAAAAAAAGTGAATATTTTCCCTGGTAGCTCATAAGTTACCTCTCTCTCCTTTTCCTCTCCACAATAATGTGGAAATGTGATGTTGAAGTCTGAGTAACAGAGGATTTAAAAGAAGAAGGGATATTTGGAACAGTGGTTCTCAACTTAGGCTGCATATTTGAATAGTCGATTTTTAAAATACCGATGTCTGAGTCCCATCCCTAGAGATTTTTTTTTTTTAAATAGACCTGTAATTTGGCCAGAGTACCAAGACTTTTAAAAGCTCTGCAAGTGATTCTCAGATACAGCCAAAGTTGAGAACCACTATTTGAGAGGAAGGAGTACTTAAGGTGTACTTCAAGAGAAGGTAAGTCTCAGTCGGTGTAAAACTTGGATGTTTATGTCCCCGGAATGCTCACGATTGTGTACACTAAATGACATTTATCACGTTCTTCCTCCTACTGTTGTTATGGCTCGACATAGCTTATCTTCATAATGGAATCAGTAGCTTCTCAAAATAGGATCCCTCTCTTTCATATTTTTGTTTCTCTACTGTCAAAGTGCCTTATTCTTGTTTGATAAATGGTTGGTAAGTGGATGAATGGAATGAATAAATAAAGGCAATAAACAATGGAGAAGAAAAACTCTTAAGGATAGGAGAGGGATAGCAAAAAAAGTGGAAGCAAGTTAAAGATAATTTTGCTTTCCATGCAAATTGTTCAAGGAGCCTGGTGACTGCTCTTTTTAGATGCCAAAAACAATAATACCCACTAGCATTATTCCATTCAAATAGGGTTACTAGTTTGGGAAATTTTAAATGCATGGATCTAAAATGAGAATGAGAATATCTGTTTTTAGCTGGGGCTGTCATTTCAATTGTTAAATGGTTGGATGGATAAAAACAAATGAATTCCAGCATCTTGTACAATCTTGGTATATAGCAAGCAATGAATAAATGTTTAATGAATAAATGCATGTCTAAATGTTTTTAAAGGGCTATAAATCAGCAAATAAATACAATAATGGTTAGAAAATTTCACAATTATAAAATGTTCAAATGAAAATGGTAATAGCTTTGAGGACAAAAGTGCACGTCGTTTTCCACATTTGTACTTTCTGAGATGATTGTCATTATTTTGTCAGCACATCATCTAAACAATTTTTTTTTCTTGCAACCATGTGAAGAAACCTTATTGCCTTGATGATGATGAAAAGCTTTCCAGGGAGAAAAGAATAAGAGCTGGTAAAGGAACTCTCACTGTCAGCTTTGTCAATCTATCTATATTTTAGATACGGAGCAGTATGTAAAAAGATCACTTTTTCAGGAGGATTTAGACCTTTGATTATGGACATGTTGTTTATACAGAGTGGAGCCAAGAAGCCTCAACCCATGTCCCTGCCTCCCCACCTCCCCAAAAAAGTTAGTAAAAAGTGCTTTCCAGATGAGTCAGAATCAACTCGACAGCAACAGATTTGGTTCTTTTGTTTTTTTTTTGGAGGGGTTCCCTTTGAGCAAGGTGATGTTATTGAAGAAATTATCTATTACCAATTGGAAATAATCATTGCAACCTATTAAAAAAAAAAACCAAACCCGTTGCCATCGAGTTGATTCCGACTCATAGCGACCCTATAGGACAGAGTAGAACTGCCCCATAGAGTTTCCAAGGAGCACCTGTTGGATTTGAACTGCCAACCTTTTGGTTAGCAGCTTGTAGCTCTTAACCACTACACCACCAGGGTTTCCTTGCAGCCTATACTCTACCTATATACTGCCATCTTCAATGATCAGACCAAGTAAGAATGTTTTTAAGAATGCACCTCCCCCAGAGTAAATCCAAAAGAATGTGCAACTGTTGGCAATCAAACAGAAGGTCTCTTGATCTGTGGCATCATTGTTTTACTCATCTATGCAACAACAATTTCTTGAATACTAGTACGTACAAAGCACTACGCTAGGTGTTTTGTTCTGAACTAGACCTTGGTTTCCATTTTACAGCAAATTACCTCTAGTGATTGTTGCACAATGGTGAATATCAATACTTGAGTTGGCTTCACCTAAATACTCTGACCCAATAAAAATTCCCTAAAACCAAGGAACAGCCTCAAAAGGAAATGTGAATTTCTGATATTACAAATGAAGGAACATGGCAGAGTCAGTTCATGCCAGCAGCAGTTCAAAGGGGATACATAACTGGAGGGTGATGCTCCCCCAGAATGGTGCAAAGCATGGTCCAGCTAATACACGACCTTAGACACTTCAAAGCCATTGTGTAAATAGGGGTGGCATTAAAAATGCATATATAAAATTATGACTGTGTAATGCTCTGCAGCCCCTTTCTCCTCAGCCCCAAGTTAATTCAAGTCAGACACAAGTCATTTTTATCTTATGTCACTCTTTCACATTCCTGGACATCCTGCCAAAAACAGCTTGTAAGAGACAATTGCAGCCACAGTCCCTTTCTCAACAGTTTGTTCAGGACTGTTGCACTCCCTTCCTACTTGTTCCTTGTTTCCTGCATGCATCTCCCCACATTTTCCTTCTCCTAGCCTTTTATTCTGCCTACAAACAACCTATCCCAAGTCTGCCTCTATTTTTGGTTGCCTTTTGGCCTCTCTTGACCTTCTCATTTGACCTGCTAACTTTTTTCCTCCTCCTTTCCAACAACCACACTTGCTAAACCCTCCCTTGGTCTGGCAGCCTCTGCAGGTCTAGGAAAGAGATACCATTTCCAGCCTCTGCTCTGGAAGATGACTACCAGTACTTCATCCCCAAGCCCAGACATTATGACAGAACAAAATAATTTTACTCCTCAACCAAATGATCTACTTATGCATTCTGGATGGCCCATCAGGGAAGAGATGTGGAAATTGTCCTCTGTCCCACTAATTCATGACATAAAATAAGGCAATTTCTATTTTTAATTAAAGATTCTTTGTATATTGGCAATGTGTGTGGTGTGAAAGAAAATGACAACTCTGTTGTAAGATATCATCACTGTTTGTTTGCTGGGCTGTAG